CCATTTACGTTTATTCAATCATTTTTCTCTACAAAGTACAAAGGTCTCTTCTTTTATCTCCATTCGCACAATTTATAAAGCTTGAAGGTGGGATTTTTTTAATATTATTCTGACTTATTCTGCACCAATTCTTGGGAATTTAGGGCGAAGAATGGAGTTACAGAATTGACATGGCAAAATGGGCAGCTCGCTCTGCACGCGATTGATGGGCTTCACTCAACTGTCCCGGCCAAGCCCACATGGAGTCGAGCCAATGACACTTTGGAGTCCGTTGTCAATCAAGCCAAAATCCAGACCCATAGCTCACAGCTGACCCACCAAGGCGAGCCACAGGTCCATACAGGCCGCGCCCTCGCACCCTCTGGCGCCAATGTCAGCGGCAAATGGGTGGAAAGGGGCAACCAAGAACCGCCGGCGAGAAAACGAACTCGATCAACTTCCGACTATGCCGGAAAAAATGTCAGCGCGAGCAACAACACTATGCAAGTGGACTATGGCGATCACAGCGCCTGTGGAAGTGCGAGTGCAGCGTTGTGTAGGGATAATGACACTACTCTCATGACATGGGCTTCCTTTGATTCTCCTCGAAGCATGAAAACCAAATCCATTGATGAAGATTCTGCTTGTCATGTTGAATCGGTAATGTTTAATTTCTTTGAACTTGATGCTTTTATATATTTACTGTGAAATTGGAAAGAGCTTGATTAAACTTTTGACACAGAAATAGAAGTGGAGGACAAGAATTGGATTCAACCAGAATTTTGGATACATATATATTTTTTTCTTGTTATACAGCTGCTGCTTTCAAGGCTATTTGATTTGTACCTCTGAGGAAATACAGAACTGTAGCTATATCCATTTGCTTTTCCATCAATGTTGAAAAAGAAAAACCTCAAAGTTTAACCACAGGATTAGTTCTATCTTTACTCGCTTTTTTGATGGTCTGTTCTATCTTTATGGTTTTCAGAAGTCATACTCATGAATTACAATAATTAAATTGTTTGGTAGCACTGCTGTCATATTTAATTACGCTTTATGAGTGGCAAGCTGAAAAAGAATGTTGCTGACATATACCGTAGTTCTTATTTTTCCATCTTACTATGTTGCATCATATCATAGTTTATCTGATTTCGATAGAAAAATAAATCTACTTGTTTCAGGAAAACCAAGAAGAAGAACAAGATACAAAGCGTGGAGTGAGTCACTCTCATTCAGCTAGACGAAGTCGGGCAGCCGCAATACATAATCAGTCAGAACGGGTAACAATTTGATATCTTAACAGAGTTTTTCTTCCTTTGTCCTTTTTCAAAATCAGGATTCTTGAAATACTCTTAATTATCATGGAAGTTGCTTTAGTATTTTAGAGATTACATTATAGAAAAAATACAGATTTTTCTAATGCTTTATATTATTTTCATAGAGGCGAAGAGACAGAATTAATGAGAAGATGAAAGCCCTGCAGAAATTGGTGCCAAATGCAAGCAAGGTATGAATGGATAACTTCTTTCCGACAATCATTAATATGAGACTCAAGATTCTCATTGTACATGCAGTTAAATTACTTTTTCACATTAGGCGGACAATCTTTACCTGTTAATATTGTTCCAAACTTCCAAATATTCATAATTTAAGACTCTCTGTATAATATGTGGTTTTTAAGTTTTTGTACCATAGAGATTTCCTCGTGTTGAAGTGTAAAACTACAGATTTAAGCTAACGATGGATCATCACGACAATCGTTTATGTCCAAGGCAGACTGATAAAGCTTCAATGCTGGATGAGGTGATTGAATACTTGAAGCAACTTCAAGCACAAGTTCAGTTTATGAGTGTGAGAAGTATGCAACAGATGATAATGCCTATAGGAATGCAGCAACAACTTCAAATGTCGCTCCTAGCGCGAATGGGCATGGGGGTTGGTCTAGGCATGGGAATGGGGATGCTTGACATGAGCATGGCACGGACGGCCCCACAGTCGCTTCCTCCTCTCATCCATCCTACTTCAGTTCCCGCCACCCCTCCCGCATTCGTTCCACCCCCCTTCCTGCTGCCCCCTGCAATTCCAAGGCAGGATCCAACACAAGCAAAGCCCGCCACCAACGACTCTGTTGATCCATTTTGTGCCTTTCTAGCACAAGTATGGTAGAGTGATTGGATTGTTAGTTTCAGACCCTTTTTATTTTTCTTGTTCTAGATACGTGATGCTCTGGTTTTTAGTGCAGACGATGAATATGGATATCTACAACAAAATGGCAGCTTTCTACCGCCAACAAGTGAATCAGACAACAAATGCAGTGAGCAGCCCACCTCAGTCAAACAACGTGCAAGGAAATTAATGCTTTTGCTGAAGGAAGGAGCTCAAATATTGGATAAGCACAGCACTAAACTTTACCTAGTTGATAAGTTCTATATTTAGTTAACAAGAACCAAACTTTGAAAATATCTGTATTTCATGATGTATGAGTTATTCTTAGTATTTTATTACTTATAAATATGATTTTGCAAATTCTTGTTTGGAACGAAAACAGGGGTCATGACTAGATTTTCGCTTTCTTTTCCTTTTCCATTTTTTACAAGATTTGGTATAACATACCAACTTATGTACCAAATGCAGGCTTACGTCGTTGTACTAAACCTACAGAATTGACAAATTTATATTCTAGGATAAACAAACTCACGTATCAAAACATAAACTTAGTTTCATAACCACTACATAAATCCGACGTGCAAGTTAAAATACCAAGAGTACCAACTTGTTTACAAGATTAAGACCAAAAAATTTCCAACATGGGAGAAGAAACAGAGAATTTTCCTTGGTTTTGTTTGTTTCTCCCCATCAAAAGCATACAACATGATATGCACATGGTCCATTCCATTCTCCAAATTGGAATTTTCATTTACTTCTCACATCCATATCATTTTCATCCAATTACACCAATCTCTATCAAATGAATATGATTGGTTTTGAGTTTGTCCCCTCCATTAAATACATCTTTCTTTCCATAGTCATAGAAGTGAATAAAATTAAACTACAATATTTGGAAATGCATTAAATTCATTCTACACCTCCACCATAATTCACTTTCACTTTGACCCATAAGAGATTGTGACTAGGTATCAAACAACCTCTTGTGTGAACCACTTATGGCCATGTATAATAATACTCAAAGGACCACAAGAGAGGCCCCTTTAGATATGGTAATGTAAAAATAAACCCATGAGAATCACAATGAAAGGAGATTGACGGGTGTATTGCAGCAACAAGTTTATGGGAAATGAGGACCATTTTCCCATTATATGGACACAAGTTTTGCCTCTATTTTACAGCCTGGATTTGTAATGTTGATAGGACTGCCTCTTCCCTGCTAGATTTTTCTTTAAACGAGATGGAATGGAGCTTTTAGTTATGAAAAAAATTCAAACGATTGTTTGGATATGGTTGTCTGTTAATGACAAAGTGGAAGAGTAATAGAAAGGATGGAAAAGTTTAGGCTCCAAAGTTTGGATAATTAGTTTTATGGTTAGAAATAAGTTTTGTTCTCTGTAGTTTCATTAAAGAAACGATTTAGTCCCTAAACTTTAGTTTGTAACGATTTAGTATTTGTACTTTCAAATGACTTACAATTTAATTACTGAATTTTAGTATGTAACAATTTAATCTATATAGTTTAAAGTTTGTAACGATTTAGTTCTGTCATTAAATTTAAATTCAACGCCCATTATTCTAATAGCATGTTAGACCATAAGTAAATTCAAAAGTTTAATTTATAGGAAAATATGAATTTAAGGTTAAATTACAATTTTAGTTTCGATTTCGTTTATATACTTTTAAAAGTTTTAAGTTAAAAAACACATTTTGTCCTTGTACTTTCATTAAACTAACGATTTATGTTAAATCTTAATTAACAGTTATGTCAGTTTTCTATAATATTTAACAGGACTATAAAGTACATGGACTAAATCGTTATTCTTAAAAGGTTAGGAACTAAATTGCTTTAATGAAAGTACAAGAACCAAACGAGGTTTTTTAATAAGAGTTTTACTGTCATTTATATGTTTTTTTCATTAATGAATAGCAGCAAAGGTATAAGGTTGTAAACTATTTCTAGATGTGAGAGATGAGTTCCACAAGAGTGACATTTTATTTTAATGCTACGGTCACATTGGTTGAAAAATATAAACTTATGTCGAGACATTTCAACTGACAAGTAGAAAAGGAGTTAGAAACCATCTTGTTTTATAGTCCAGCTAATAATTCCTATTAAATTTGACTTCCCTCAGCACATAGTTTACAAATAACTTAACGATACCATTTTTTCATTATCATCTCTTGTTTTTTGTTACCTGCAAACTTGTACAAAATAGATTCAAACTGGACTGCCAGGTATCAGATTGAGCTTACCACAAATTCAATAGTAGAGCATATGGCATGATCCACACTCCATCTTGTCATGTAGTAAATATCAGATGAAGACAGGTTTGTCATTTATATCAGCATGCTTTAGTTAGGACCATATCAATCTTGACTTAGTCTCTTCAACATCTCTCTCTTGCACCACTTTCTCAATAAAACTAATGAACTTAGATGGAGTAAAGCTGATAAAATCACAACCATCTGGAGTAAGTTATAAACTTGATGTCTTGTTTACTTGTATATATCAAGCGGTAAATCAGGGGTGACTCGAGCAGGCCCGGCACCGTCTGAAACAACCTGGCTACTTATCCAAACAGATTTCATTGTTTTGAACAATAATTTTTTCTTTTATAATTGTTACAATACTGCTCACAAGTAAAAATGAACAGACCATAAAGAAGAAAAAGGAAAAAGACAGCATTGACAAAATATGGAACAATCCTTGTCAGTGTATGCGCATTGAGAAGGTTAACCTGTCTGTAAATAATATTAAGATCAGGACTCATGATAGGGAAAAAAAGAACAGCACAAGTCTGCAGTTCCTTAAAATGCAATCTAATGATACAGAATGAGATCGTACAAAAGAGAACCTGTAAGTTGTTCTTCAA